TCTTGGCATCTGTTGGAAGCACTTCATACCGCCAAAGGCATGATTTGCATTTGAAGGTCGACTCTGAAGAGCAGGGACATGTTCAAGTTGTTGTGGCGTCTCTCTACCTAAAGGATGCAGAAGAGGTAGAACTGATGAAATATTTTTTTCATTGAGGAAATTAAGGCTTAATTATAATGTTAATGAGCATATGATTGTTCCATTACTTTCGCATTTTGTTAATAAGGAAAAAATTTTCTGTATGAGAATTAAAAAGTAGCAATAATTGCAAACGCATGGCGACTACGCTAATTGCTATCTTTCTTTCTGGGATTTAATCTTTGTTCTAATGTTCGGGTGGGCACAGACTATAGAAGGCATTCCAAATGCAACCGCAATCGAGCTCGATGTGACAGACCATGGTAGTCTCTCCAAGTGCATTTCTCAGGTGTTTAAGACTTTTATTAATGGAGATTATATGTTCCTTCTGGTTATGTGAGTCTCCAAACGGAGAATTTCATTAAGCTGTACAGTTCACTGACGATGTTGTTTCCCTTGTCAAGGTCGACGTTGTTATAAGTTTGCTTCCCCCTCTTTTCCACGTTACTGTAGCAACTGCTTGCATCGAGGTACATTGTACTTTTTAATTTCATATTAGGTGCTTGAATTTATCTTAACATATCAGCAAAATAGTTCCACTATGAACACTTCTGTTTTATAACATGATCATGAAATTAATTGATCATCTCATGCTGTTGTCTCTATCCTACATTTGGTGCAGCTTAAAAAGCATCTTGTAACGGCTAGCTACGTTGATGATCAGACATCGAAGTTAGATGAGAAGGCAAAAGATGCTGGCATTACAATTCTTGGAGAGATGGGGTTGGACCCTGGAATTGGTAACTGTTTTCCCAATGCATAGTGCTCGTAGAGAACTTAATATTACAAAGAGGCACTAGTTTCATATATTTCGAATTTTACACTGCGCTCCTTCATTTGGCAATTACGTACTCGATATGTTTGTGCGCCTTTCATGTACATTCACGTGCCCTTTAACATGCTGATATGATATCAAGCATTTATTGCATCATTTTGTTACCGTACTGGAGCTGCTGTATCTGTTTAAAATGCATCAGATCATATGATGGCAATGAAGATGATTGATCAAGCACATCAACGGAAAGGGAGAATAAGATCTTTCACTTCCTACTGCGGAGGCCTCCCATCGCCTGCAGCTGCAAATAATCCACTAGCATATAAGTTCAGGTACTCTCTGTCTCGAAGCGTGAACAAATCGTTCTCTATCAACTGGTCTATGGAAGACCATAAGAACACATTCCAGCTTTTTCCTTCTTTAAACCATTTCTTTTGATGCAGTCTATGGAATTGATCAGAACCGTTGGATAGGATATGTAATTTGACCTTAATGTAAAAATAGATTATTTTTAGATTAGTAAGTTCATACTTCTTCATTCCCTGCTTATTTTTCTTCCGCAATTAAATCTATAACTTCCGATGCATCCGGTTTCTGATATTATGAAAAGAGTGTTTTAAAAAAAGCTCTCGTAAACTTTTGTAGTTGGAATCCTGCTGGAGCTATCCGAGCTGGGCGTAATCCTGCCTTATACAAGTCTCATGGTGAAACTATACATGTTGATGGTACGATATCCACTTTCAGCAGAGTGAAAATTTTCAGATGTAGTTTTGATTTTATTCTCTTGTCCACAAACTTTTGGCATTTCCAATTTTTATCACGTGGTATAGCGCCGCATTGATTATCAAGTTCATTCTGATCACAGCGAATTTATCGTGCTTCTAAATTTGCTTTCTGCCTTATATTGATGGTGTTAACAATATGCAGGAGAAAAACTCTATGAATCTGCTACTAGACTCCGAATACCCGAACTCCCTGCCTTCGCACTAGAGTGTCTTCCGAATCGCAACTCTTTGATATATGGGGACTTGTACAGAATAAGTAAAGAAGCTTCGACCATTTTCCGTGGAACCCTCCGCTATGAAGGCATGATGAACTTTTAGATCTTTTATAATCTCAGTACCTCTCATTTTTATCCTGCAATAAGCTAGCTCCAGAAGCATGGTATGAAAGTTAAAGTTTTGAAAGAAATAAGAATTGAACATGCTTGCTGTTTTTAACACAGAGAATTCAAAAATTGGCCACATGTGAATGTTATTAATATACTCGGAATTTCTGGTTGTTTCTTTCTGTAGGTTTCAGTGAAACAATGGGGACTCTTGCAAAAGTAGGTTTATTCGATACTGAATCCCAAATGATTCTTAAGAATAGCAAGCGACCCACATTCAGGACTTTCTTGCTCAAGCTTCTCGAACTTGAAAAAGAAGATTCAGATAAGGCTTCATTTGGGGAGAAAGAGATTGCCCAACAATTGCTTATACTAGGACACTGCAGTGAAGAAGGAACAGCCCTAAGGACCGCCAAAACTGTCGTGTACGTAACTTTTGATTGTTCTATGTAGTTCTTACTTACATAATATCCAGTTGGGCCTGTAAACTATTCTACGATCACTTATTTGTACGTTTTCTAGAGCCAAATGTTTTTCTCTTGTGCGTTAAGTAATGAAAGCATTTCGTTTGTTGCTGCATGCTTTAGGTTCTTGGGTCTTCATGAGCAGATGCAAGTCCCTGCATCCTGCCAGAGTGCCTTCGATGTAACCTGTCTTCGCATGGAAGAAAGATTGGCCTATTCTAGCACAGAACAGGTATGATTTTGGCGTGTATTATACTAGTAGTAAAGATTGGGCTAATATGTATGCATTAGTGTGGTTAGTGCACAATGAAACTCCATTTGACGAGAAGTTTAATTTATGATTAGGATATGGTGCTTCTGCATCATGAGGTGGAGGTTGAGTACCCGGAGAGCCAGCACAAAGAAAATCACCGTGCCACTCTACTAGAGTTTGGTAGGATCGAAAATGGAAAAACCACCGCCGCCATGGCTCTCACAGTTGGTATCCCGGCAGCCATTGGAGCTCTGGTACTTTCACGCCCACCTTGTTCCTCCATTAAATGAATCTAATTAGATGCGTCGACTAAGCTATTTTCTTCTCTGCTATTGCAGCTATTACTTGAGAACAAGATCAAGACAAGAGGCGTGTTGAGACCTATTGAACCTGAAGTATATGTGCCAGGTATATTCGAAAATCAGCTGCCTCATTCCCATTGTCCAGCATTATCGACTATTGTCTTCTGCTGCATTTTTTATATAACAAAAGGTTGATTACACCATTCTTTTCAGCCTATCAAGTGATTTTGCTAGTCACCAATTTCCCATCTGAGAGTCCTAGGCAGGATTCACTTATTGGCAACTTAAAGCCTCTGACCTGACTACTTTAATGTTGCTATTATGTTAAAATAATTTGACATATAGCTCCTCGAGACTCCCTCTTGACATTGGAATAAACCGATGACATTCTCTTTTTTTTTTTTTGGTTGCAGCACTGGATATCCTGCAAGCTCAAGGTATCCGGTTAATAGAGAAGATCGAGTGACTTGGACTTTCGGGAATGTGTCCGATTGTATCGTGCATGCATATTGAAGGAATCAAAAAGAAGATGGAAAACAGAACTACATATGTTCTTGTATGATGTAATAATTAAAATCTCATTTAGCATTCCTTGTGCATAAATTGTCCGAATCACCATCTTCTGCAACTATTGAAACTTGGGCGTCTATTAACTGAAAGATCCCAGGCATTGCATTAATGTAGATTCACTTGCTTTTTGCATCAAACTGTACATTTTCAATTTTTGATTGCTTTAAAAGTCAACAAGCTTTGATCTTGTTTCCATGGTTAGATATGACATCAAGGTTCCGTTGGGGGAGGCACTGCAGAAGTCTCAATACATTCGTAATAGAGAGCCCATTACCCATAACTTAATGGCTTATGTTTTTAAGTGAAGACGGATCTAAACATCCAATATGAGTCTTCTTTCTTACTCACACATGCACTCGATAGGTTCTCATATCAGCAACTGCAAGCTTGAGGCAAGAATGAAGAAAGCATTTTTTTCAGTATGTCATGATACAAGTTACAGGATAAAATAAAATTGAAGCTTACTGACATCACTGAACTCAATGACTGTCGGAGCGGAATTTTAACAGTAAGCTTCAGCAAGAGACGAGATAATACTCGGGTTAAGTGACACCGTCAAATCTCGGTAAAAACAGCCATTCTGATAACAAGTTTGTCACGCACACCATGATGATTTAGCGATAATGGTAGTATCACCTCCGGTGTGGTCACTCGACTAGAGCTATTGGATAAGCTGTCCTGTTTACTGTCAAGGGAAAATTTAAGCATGTCAAGCATCAAAGTTGCAACTTCTGACAGGTCAAAGCACCGGGTTTCATTATTTTGGCACCAAAAGCTTACAGCATTACTCCAAATCAGAAGCCCAATACCAGTTAATGCCCTGAACGTTTATAATTGTTAACCTATTTCTGGACTCAAAATAGTTAAAGATTAGATGCTTGAAACTTTCATGAGTACATAACAATGTCATGAATATTTCGAATATGTAAACGCAACACCTTTAGCTGAAATTTTGTAGATTAAATGCTCGAAACTATCCTGAGTACAATGCTAGCATCAAGGACTCATTTGTCGTAGCGTTTCTAATGGTTTTGCTTAAACTATCTGGAAAACTCAACTGTGCTTATGTTGTTATGGATGTACTCTCTCTCATGTACGCCACAAGAGCTCATTCATGATAATTTGAGCCTGATGTCGCGAACATTGACAAGGGAAAGTCTGGTTTACTTTTGAAACTTCCCCTTTTATTTTATAAGTACTAGTGAAGCTTGCATCGTGAGATCACACCACAGTCACCCCCTTAATTACAGATCATCATCATCAAGAAATAATCTCTCTATGTCTGAAAAAAAAAAAAAGAATGCTCTTTTCTTGATTCTCTACTAGTCGACTGAGCTTTTGAGCAATCAGATGGTGAAAATCAATGCTCAGCCTGATTCTAATATCTCTCTTTCCACGCCATTCGGGCTAGAATCCACCGCTGATGTTTATGAGACCTAATCACGTCCATTAGACGACAAGGACTTCGAGTTTCCTCGACTGATCATTGCTCAAAACAATGACCCGGATGCCAAATCCCAGTACATACAACAAAAGATTAGTGCTAAAACATGCAGAAGAACCAAAAGTGATGGCACATGCTTTCCTCTGCTTGAGTTTCTCGCCGATGGGGTCTTCTCGTGCGTTCCGGTATCAATCATAATCTCGAACCTGCAACCGTCTCGTGAGGGATCGATCACAGTGAGGACCGTCAAATTGTTGAACGAGCACGCGCCTTGCCTCTGATCCATGGTCTGGTAGTACATGTTGAATGCATATGAAGCATTGCTCCTAGCGTCAAGATTACCGCAACTCGATCCGTAGCCAAGGCTAGTGCAATCCGCGTAAGAACAAGCATAACTTATCCCTCCCGGCACATTCGGATCTAAAAGGCTCACCTGGGGCGACATCACACACCAGTTCCTGGACAAGTACTTGACGCCTTTCGCAGGGACTAAACTCTTTCCATTGCCCATGTCCAATGGGTACTTGATGGTCCCGTCATAGTAGAATATCCCCCAGTGCCGCTCGAAATTCCCTGGGTCGACGCTCTTGATGTCCTCATCTATAAGGGCGAAGAGGTAAATATCGGGCTGAGACGGGCGCTTCGGGGTGCCCTTGCCGCTGAATATGCGGTTCAGGAGGCCCTGGTTGAACCGGCGAGCATTTTGGATGTTTGCACTCGGGGTGCCATCCGAGGGCCACCCGACCTCTCCAATGATCACAGGCATCGATCCGAAACCATTCTTCTCAAGGGCAAAAATGAGGGTGTCAAAATTGGCGTCTAGGACATTCGTATACGTGATTGAGCCATCCACCACAGGGGAAGCAGCACCATCAAAGAAGGCATAATCGACAGGGAAATTGGGGTCCGCGTCAAGGCTAAGGAAGGGGTAAATGTTGACAGTGAGAGGGGCGCCGTTGTTGCTCAGGAACTTAGTGATGGAGATCATGAGGTCGCGGATGTCGGCCCGGAAATCGCCCCCCGAGGGGAGGCCGCTCTCCGTCTGGTAGACATCACCATTGAGCGGGATCGTCGCCTTGACTTGTTGGCCGAGGCCAGCTTTGATAAGAGCTGCTTGGATATTTTGAAGAGCTGGAAATGTAGTATTGACGAACGTGTGTTTGTAGGCCTTCAGGAATGGCTCATTACCAACAGCCACATACCTAGGAACAATAACATCTGATTGTCAAGTTCATTTCTGGTTTTAATTAGCTACCTTTAAATGGACACTAACTAGGAGCATTGCCTTGCATGTTTTAGTTTAATACACAGAGATTCGTACCTTATGTCGACCCCATGTGTGGAAATGAAAGTGGACACATTCTGCGACACCCAGTTGATGGCGGCTTGGACGCTGCTCGAGAGCATTAGGAGGAGGTCGTTCGGTATCCCGACCATCACTTGGATCCCAGAATGCCCGAGTGCCTTGAGGGGCTCTGGATCAGCCTCAAAGAGCTTCACTTTGTTGAATCCGTTGTCCTTCAGTAGCTGAACTGCTATTTTTGGAGGAAGCGGATGCGAAGCGCGCGACCCCCAGTTGCATGCGAGGCCTTGAACTTCCAGGGTCACACCTTCAAGGATTACAGACAGGATCAGGAACCATGAGAAAAAGCGAGAACAGCCCATGTTTTCTCGAATTATTGATTCACTAATCATTTTTTCCGAGTCTGCTGTTTATAAGCTGTCTCGAAAACTTGAGTAATTTGGAGAATATCAGAGAAATCATCCTTTTCAAGTCTTTTCAAGGGACAGGCAAGGAATTACATGGAGATTCAACAAGGAACTCGATACCATTTGAATCAGCACGTAGCCATCTCGATACAGATAAAAGAATATCAAGCCCAAGAAAGGGATGGAGTGAACGTGTTGCAGATTATTTTGTCCAGGAATGCCTTGGAAAAGTTGCGATTGGAAAGTCTCTTTCTTGAAATCTTCAATTTGCTAAGCTTTTGGCAAAAAGTGGTTCTTAAACATTCTTTAGCTGTTCATGGAAAAGGTAAGTGCCTATGCACACATTTTGTGAGGACTGAGGACCTCCATTGCCACTGTCTAGAGGGCATCAAAGCTTGCTTGAGCTGTAAGCATTGGGAGAACCTCCTTAGATATATTGAAGATGACAAAATAATGTTCTTTGTTATTATCTAACATATGCGGATTGTATGTTAATTAGGTGAGTTGAAATGACGAATGCAATGCCACTATCATTGGTGAATAAGATATCGTGCGTTGAGATGGCTATAAGCTAAATGGACCTGATAGAAGAACAATCACGGTAGAACAAGATGTTCATGAAATGTATAGGTGAACAGCTGAATAAAGCCGTGATCGCAGATAAACTTGGAAGGACCGCAGGATAGTTGCCTTGAAGTCGTTTCCAGCGTATAGCTTGGATAGACTCATGGGATCACTGGCAAAGGCAACTTCCTATATCAATTTTGTAGAAGACATTGGACGTGCTTCTATCACCTGTTCAAGAAGACCTTGACTACTTTTCATTTGAATCGGCCTGAAGTTGAATTAGAGCAGTTTTAGCTTATTTGTGCAAGCAGCCACAGGGACAGATTGTTGATAGAAGCATCAAACTTTAATTAGAGAAATCTTACTTTTATCAAGGAAAACGGCAGTCTGTTTTCCAGCGATGCACTCCCAATTCCAATGGCTCTTTTAGCTTTCTAAAGACACTTCAATGGCTAGATTGGAGCTTGAAACGTCTATATAAAGTATACCAAACAAGTTGAAGGTTTTGGCAAAAAATTGGCCTAATTCCCTAAAAAACCTCAAACTTTAAGGTTTGTTCCAATTCTACCCTGAATTTTTTTTTGTCTCATAAAAACCCCTCAACTTTCATTTAAGTCCCAAATTTGCCCACTATTTGACCTTCGGTCCAACTTTTCGTTAATTGTCCATCGTGGCATTTCCACGTCAAAAAAAGTCCAGGATTTCAGACACTGTTCACACGAACTGTTCATCTTCTTTGCGATTACTGTTCATTATCTTCAACCTTCACCTGCCTATCAAAAGACACAGAACTCTACTTACCCATTCACCTTCACCTTCACCTCCCAAAACACACGAAACTCTTAACTTACCCAGTCACCTTCACCTCAACCTCTCTCTCTCTCTGCAGCCATGCTCGAAGAATCAGTGACAAGTGCACCGTCAATCTGGGCGACCATGCACAGCTGGTTCACGCCAGTGTTTTCTCCGTGCTCCTCAACCTCATGATTGGCACCATTTTCACCACATCAAGCCTTAGCAGCCACAAACCCAAGGAAGAAGAAGGAAACCCACATCAACAACAAAGAAATCACGAAGATAGCCCAAAACCCCAACACCTCGCCATATCTGCATCAATGTTGCAGAGGCTCAAGTCCGTGAGTTTCTACAACTACAAATCCCAAGAACCCAACACCCATTTTGGCAAAACCCTTGAAATGGAAACCCTTCATGGGTTCTTACAGCAAGGCTCCGAGCTTGGACAAGAACAAGAGGGGGAAAGCGAAAAGGGAACTCCTTTCTTGACCAGATCTCCTTCAATGCCGGACAGGCTCAAGTCGTTCAATCTCTACAGGTGTGTGTCCCAAGAAGCTAGCTTTTCACAGACCTATCACAGCTCTGAGCTACCCCCAGGAGCCAGAATAACACGGAGCCCAAGCTGAGGAGGAAGAACAAGTTGACCCAGCTGGAGATGAGGAACCAGAAGAACAAGATGAGCAAGAAGTAGAAGAAGTTGAAGAAGACAAGGAAGAGGATGAACAGAGTCTTAATGATGTGTACAGTCAACTGAAAGACAATCAGGTTAAAAAAATCAAAACCGGCACCGAACCAACATCAGGCGAGAGCAGCTGAACTTCCCCATTTCCAACATCTTCAAATGTGTGAAGGACGGCAATGTGATCGGGAGAGAGGTGCTGGGATTGTGTATCATGGTAAAATGCCAAATGATGTATTTATTGGATGACAAATCGAGCAATCCGGACCTTACCAAAAAAAAAAATCGAGCAATCCGGAGGTTGAAGATGATGAACAGTAACCGCAAGTTGAAGAAGATGGCGGTTCGTATGAACAGGGAAGTTGACGTGGCATTTTTATGGATGTGGCGATGCCACGGGACGACTAATGGTACTGTTGGACGGAAAGTCAATTGAGGGTAGATTTGGGACTTGAGTGGAAGTTTGTGATTTTTTACATGACAAAAAAAAGTTCAGGTAGGATTGGGACAAACCCTAAAGTTGGGGTTTTTTAGGAAATTAAGCTCAAAAAATTGAGAAAACTTATACTCTGAACTCTTTTGTACTCCTGTGCTTGTACCGATAGTAATATTTGCTTGTGATTCTCTCTTCTAAGGGTTTTCTTTGCTCCTTGTAATATGTGAATTGACAAGTGTACCAAGTGTAATAGCATTGTTTGTTTATTTATAGTAGTGTCTACCGGTTTTGGGTAGAAGTTGTAAGGTCTTATGAGTTTACTCGTGGTATCCAACCTTGTTGTGGCTATTAGTCTAAAAGAGTGAACTTAGACTTGACATAAGCCTACACACTATAAAATCTATTTGCAGTATCTTCATTCTCTTCACTCTTTTCAATATATGACTGATAGAAGCATCTATATATTATATTATTAATCTATTTTAAAAATCTATCAAAGTTAATCTTGAACAATTCCGCTAAAATTTATCAAGATTTCAAATCAACCTATTCTCTTCCTCTAGGTTATTTTCTTAGTCTTAACAAAAACTCCCCTACAGTGCAAAAGGAAAGACGAAGAAAGAAACTTGACTTAAATAATATTTCTTCTTCGATAATAATCATTGTCTAGGACATCCTAACCGGTGATCGATTTACCTCATTTAAAATACCAGTGTTACCAAACATTCGAGAATAGTAACTTTATCTGGTGACCAAATTTCATCTACCAAATAGGAAATACCGCTATAATCAACTTACAGATGTTTTATGTAAAGAAGTCATTTTGAAATATAGCCAATATGTCATACATGACATCCACGGTCTGGGTTTTCAATTTCTGCCTAAAGGCACATAGTTTCTCTATTTCGTGGCCTGTGGGTTTCCAGTCAAACTTGCATATAGATTGGCCAGGCATGACCCACATATAATTCCCTCAACAATTTCCTCTCTTCAATCATGTGGCAACAAAGGGATAAGCACTTCGTTTTGACTGTCATCAAAGGCTTTCTTCATCTGCTAAAGAGGGAAAAAGTGATCTTCGTTTCTCAATTTGAAGTACTCCATTAAGAGTCATCTAATTTTGGGATGATCAGGTTAGTGATCTCGCCTTAACCCACTTACTCAAGTGATATATTTTTCACTGAGCTCTTTGGTCAAAAGACAGGTAAATTGGCTGCTCAAATCTATCGTTCAGTAGAAGCTATAGCTAGATTTTCTATTATTTTATGTATAGCTAGATTGACCGAGCCTTGTTAGCAAGGAAGGGTTGCACCATCAATCAAGTCCAATTGCTAGTTCATCCTTTGGGAAGCTATCAAGATTCCTTGCTTAGCTCTCTAAAACACTAGTAATCTTTTTAATCCTACACTTCTGGACTATAATAAGAACAGAAAGAATAGCAGCTATACATTGCAATTTGAAAAAAGAAACACAAAACTTTACTAAAGGAAGAAGTGACTCTGGATTATGTACACAAGAAAGCCCAAGCCGGTCCAACCACAATAACAAGAACCAAGAATCTTGAACATCAGTAGTGAGTGATTGCTGATTTCAATATAAAGATTAAATTCGATTATAGCGACTAAACTTACAGATCACAGTAATCACATCTACTCTAAGCCTTCCAAAAAAAGTCAAAAATGAAGAGGAAAAAAAATTCCAAGATAACTATAGAAGCAGATCATCCCCAAAAAGATAGAGAAGTCTCTCCACAGCCCAACTGGGTTCGTTCATACTCCAGTCCGAGCTCTGTGAGGGGGTCAGCAAGGGGGCTCTACAGAGCGGGCAAGACTTGTGATTATCTTCATGATCATGATCTTGATGGCCATCATGATCCACCCATCTGTCAATGCATTCTCTGTGGAAAACATGGCAACAGTTCCTCAGCTCCCTGACTTCATCGTCCTCCCTCAGCTGGCTAAGGCATACTGCACACGTTTCACAGATCTGTGGCAGCCTCTCCATGACATCCGCATAGGTGGTCAGCACCAGATTGTCTCTTATCATCTGGGAAGAAACGGAGGGAGCGTGCTCTGTTTCAACAGAGGAGGAAGAAGAAGATGAGGAGGACATGGTGATTCTGTCTCTGAGCCTGAAAGCCCAAGACAAGACCCATCTCATCACTGCAAATATAAGAGCTGCTTTGTACAGGACATGGGTTACTATCAAGCAACAGCTAGGATCCTCCAACAAGAAACCCATTTTGGCATTAAAATCTTCCTTCAAGGGATCAAGAAGCCTCAAGAACCTAGCCAACAAGAAGAACTTCGAGAAAAGAGAGAGAGCAAGAGGAGTAGGACGAAGAAGGGGGAAGTTCTACATGAGGTATTGGCCCCCTTATAAAGGGAAAGGTTGGGGGCGTTGTTGGGGATTTTTGGGTTTGCTTTTAATTTTCTTCTTTAGATTTTTAAATATATTGTCAAAAGTAATGTCCACCGGGCACTTGACACTACCTTCTGCATTCGTGTAAAGTCACCAAGTCTAAGAGGGTGGACTGTGATATCTTAATTCAAGAAAGCTTTCTGAATATTTATCGTGTCAAAATCTTTGATAACAATGAAGAGTATAGAAGCATAACATTTTTTTTGCTTTCTTGATAAAGTGAATGATTCTATTCTTGAAGGTGTGTCTGCACTGTGATATTTGCCTGAAAGAAGGGAAAAGGAAAAAGAAGGATGATGATGGTCATGTAGAAAAAGAGGTGGAAGCTATTATGACCTGAATAGAAAGCTGACAAAGACCATCATGACATAAGTGACACCATGTTGGTCCCATGTGGCCAAAGAATCAAACAAATACTAAAACCTAAGAAAAGATTCTACAAAAGAAAAACAAAATCCTAAAATCAATCAAGCAATTAACAAAAGCTATTATGAAGATCTTGAAATGAATTACACTGAAGGATCACTTAATTATTAGTAATCCATTATTTAATTTAAGAAATTGTTAGGTGAAACAGGAGGAGGAAAAGTACCATCCCATCAGCAACAGCTCAGGTTGCCCTTTTGATCTTATCATACGTGTGAAATGGGCCCATCTAATGTGTCTTGCTTCCTTCAATCTGAGTCAGAAATCCACCAAGCTGGCCATCATCTTGATTACTTTCTGTCATGATGATGGAGGACGATGCAGGAAAAGAGAGAGAGAGAGAGAGAGAGAGATTATAGACAGTGTCGTGATCCTGAACCAGCTCAATAAAGGAGACCAATCTCTGGTCCTCTTTATTGATCTTTATCTCTTTACCTAAAACCGAAAAAGAGCTGTCGAGCCAGTAAAAGCCATCTTCAGTGGGTGCAAGAATAGATATGAGCAGAAGCTGCAGTTCAGGTCACTGCAGTTGTGGTGTTGCCTTACGTACACGACCAAATGATAGGGACACGCTGTGGCTTGTGATATCAGCAAATGAACCAGCATTGGAAAAAAAAAAACTCAAGTGGGAAGATGTCAATTGGTATAGTTTATATCCTAGTGAATTGTAAAATATGTGCACTAGGAGAAGCTAAAACGGTGCATTCATCAAATCTCACACGGTTTATTTTATTTGCAAAGATTAAATTTGCATAATCCATGAGTTGGCAAACGAGATTTATGATAATTGTAGTCTATTTCATTGTCTTGGTATATAACATGTTATATTTTGTACTATGTGTGAAACTTGAGACGTTTATGGCATGAATGAGGAGTTTTCAAAGAGAATGTTTTCTATTGATTTTTTCCGAGCCTAGTTCCTTTTCAAAATACCAACTTTAGCTTTGGGTTTCAATTTCGATCAAAACTTTTCCGCCCTCCTCAAGCTTCATCCAGTAATTCTGTTAAAAATTTAACGTGTCATTTCATACATACTTGACAACTCACAGTTGTTGTCACCGAAGATGCCGCCTGAATATCAATAGCTTCAAACCAAATTTTTTTTATCTCATAAAAAAGTATCAACTTTCAGTTTGTATATAAATTTTGCCCCCGTCAAAATTTGAAGTGTTATTCCATGTGTACTCGGTGACTCGCAATTATCGCCACCACTGTTATATGAATAGTTTTGAACCAAGTTAAAGGAGGAAAAGCGAGCATTCAAATTTGGATTTTTGGCAAACAATCATGAAAGAGCGATTCGTGGGATCCGAGCATGTCCATAATTGAGAAAACAGAACCTTGAACTCGCAATCAGCGGCGTCCAAAAACAGGGAAAATTCTCGAACCGTGTATGATCCTCCGCGTCAACATAGTCATGAGTTGTCAAATACACGTTGAATGACTCGTCTTTAACGTCATCATTGGATGGAACCTTGATGGGGGCCGGATTTTGGAAGCGACTGTAATTGATGCTTCTTTGAGTAGATTAGAATTGGAATTCAAGCTAAAAGTTAGTACTTTTTTACGAGATAAAGAAGATTTTGGATCAAAATTGGAGCCTAAGAAAGAGTATATGTTTTTATTTCATGAGATAAAAGAAGTTGGAGCTGGAATTGGAACTCGAATTAAAACTAGCGCTTCTCAATGGATAACGAAGATCCACGATTCGAGAAGTGGAGGCCCCAATTCTAGGGGCTGATGACATGGAGGTTAAGGTAAGCAAAAGGGCGAAAAGAGGAAGTGGAAAAACCTTATCACACGATCAAGATCGTGTCCTTTTTCCAAGAATAGACCCTCTCATCCCAAAAACCGAAAGGAAGAATTCAATGATCTTATCAAGAACAGCCTCAAAACAACATGCCCATGTCTGACCAGGTGACCATGCAGCTAATTGTAAAAACAGAGAAGAAAAACAAAAAAACAGGGGATGAAAAGCTAAACGAGCCCAAAAGGGCAAAATGACACAGAATTTGCTTACATACGAAGGAATATATGCTCATCATCATCCCTTTCGGCGAGAACCCAAGACGACTAAAGCCAACCTGTGTTAGATTGCCTACCCAAAGAAAGGTGCAAGAAAGGTTGGAAGATGACAACATGCATATGGGGGCTAACATATCTTATCTGTACAAACACCAGATAAGATTTTTGTGAAAGCTTCGGATCCAAGACATTTCCCACCCGAATTACCGAAAAATGTGTCGATCTTACACCGAAAGTGAGTATGCCCAGCAATCTTTAATGAGAAGCTCTCGAGATTAATGAATGATTTAAGATGGGTCTACACCATTCGCCTCGCCGAATCGTGCGACATGTTTCCATCTGGGTGTTTAAATGCCTTGATAAATCTATTTTTGTATAGTTGACTATTGAATTATCCGACTCTGATGCTTGTTTATCTAGTTGAGTTATTTGAGTTCTTTTTTTCTTCCTTCTTTTTTTTTGTTGCTAAGGTGAGTAATTTGGGGTTTCTTAGGAAGAAAAGTGAAGATCTTTCAAATTAACTGTGGACAATCTTCCACACCTTGTATAACCAAATTGGCTTATTCATCATTGGGTGGTCTATGTTTCTGCTTTTCAATGTGATCAGATCAGAGAAGAGAATCATCTTATCGGAATTTAGCAAAAAGCGTGGACAAGGCCCCGAGGTTCACCACTTTTTTCCTTTTTTCTGTCTTAACTGAAGTCAAGGCCGCATTTTTTTTTTCTGAAAAATTACCTCATAGGCTTGATCTTAGGATGTACTATGAGTTAATTAATTTGATCACTCGGCTTGCAATAAAAGTAGCAAAAAAAAAAAAAAGGATGGACAAGTCCCCGTTATGAAAAGTTGTTGTAGTTTGATAACATATTCGGCATTGCCCAAAAAATTATATGTGCATCTATGTTTCGATATTTAAAAGCTTGAAGTGTTTCGGCTAAAGATGAAACGCCAGAACCTATGAAGCGGAAGATCTAAGATTAAACTTATCAATTTTCCACTTGAAGATAAGGAATAAATTGACCCTCTTCATTTTCTTGTCACAACTTAAAATATGATCCGGCTTTCAAAAATTTACAAAAATAAAAAGAAAATTATGTGTGACTTTACGTGTTGACATTTATGACTTGCGATAAATTCGATGTTAAAAGGAATAGCTATGATGCACGTGTGAGTGAGTTGTGTTAGAAAAACTCTACATTGAAAAATCGGTGCGGCGTAGAACAGTTAATATATTCTAGTTAGTCCATAAAAGTGAAGGTGGATCTAATTGGATATATTGACGCCACTCCCAACAACACATACCTAAACTTTTACTAATTTTTTTTGTTCAGATACTTGCCTCCATTTATTGTAAAAGCAACGTTAAAAAAGAGCTCAAATTTCATCTAAGTGTTTATGGTGTTGTTATTTAAAATAAAATAAAATTAAGGATCCGTTTATTGAAGTAAAACTGTTTTCGGGAAATTATTTTTTGATTTTTCAGGATTTGGATGAAGGAAAACCAATCAATCTACAGGCGGCATTTTTCATGGACCGGAAACAATAAGTTTATATATCCCTTTTAGCAAGAAAGAAATCACTCTCCCTAAATCGTAAAACAAATGAAAACTAAATCATTTTTCTTCAAAACGATCTCCATGGAAATTATTTCACCGTACCCTAAAATTTGGATCTAGTAAAAAGTAGAGATAATGACACAAGCAGTCCCTGAATTTTGGTCCAATGTGCAATGTGGTCCCTGAATTTTTAATTTGTTTAATATAGTCCATGAACTTTAGCTTAACGTTCAATCTAGTCCCTGAACTTTTATTTTGTTTAATGTAGTCCCTGGACTTTTGGTACAATATTCAATGTAAACTATATGAAAATGTTCAGCGTAGCCATTTCATTAATTTAGTTCATGGACTATATTGAACATTTTCATATAATTCAATGACTAAATTACACACGTGACATTAAACAAATTAAAAATTCAGAGACCACGTTACACATTGAGTTAAAGTTCAGGGATCACGTCGAACAATTAAAAGTTCAGTAACCGTATTATATATTGGGGTCAAAATTCGGAGACTGCTCGTGCCATTTTCTCTAAAAAAAAGTCAAAAAGGAAAAGTAAAAATTGAATCGACATGCATGATCTACTTGGGGGAGGCTAAATCCAAGTGGGCGATGCTTGTCCGTTCCCACGTTTTTCTCTGGGTAAGAAGCATCGGTCGCCCATGAAGACGTAGAAAAAGCCCCGGAGACGAGGGCCCCTGCTCCAAGTTCCTCGCACAATCTTCAGGACCCGCCGCCGCCGCCGCCGCCGCCGAGGGGATTCCGACTCGCTCTTTTTGGCCGGAAAGAAAGATGGGATCGGAGGAGGGAATGGAGCTGCAGCTGCGGGAATTGCAGAAGCAGCTGGGGAAGAAGCAGAGGTTCGAAGAAGCCGTTTCCTCGATCAAGTCGATCCTGCAACGGTGCTACCCTTCCGCCTCGCCCTCGCTTCGCCGATCGGTGGGCACCCGGTTCTTTCCACCCCTCCTGTTGTTTTTCCGTCGCGGGGATGAGTTTGCGCGGACACCCATTTCGAGATTGTGCGTTGACTCTGCGGAATTAGGGTTGGAATTGGCAATGGTGGCGTTTTGTGCGTTCAAGTTTCGATTTTTTTTTTTGCTTTTTGATCGTGGCGTTCTGGTGAACCGGATGATCGATATCGGCTGATTGGGTTTGCCTGGGTTTTTTAATCTCGAGAAATTAGGCCGTGTCATGATGCGCGCGTATAAGCAAATGCGCCCTAGTTGATCGTGGAGTTTCGGCAGATGTTGATTTTGGGCGCCGTGATCCGTGCAATTGCAGCTCAAACTGCTAGAATTACAATTGGAGGAATTATATAGGGACTAGAATTTGGAGATGTTTTGTATGCGGTGCTCGATTACAAGTTCGATTCTGATTTATGGAAGTTTACTCGACTGAAATGAGAAAAATTTGTGCTTTTCCTGGTGCTAGATTTATTCTGTGGTATGTCGAGTCGCAACAATCTTGAAGACGAGACACACGGCGCCTGGTTTTTGGCTCGCCGGATTAGGGCTCTTTGAGGAGGCCGAAAGCTTGGTGTCTAATCCTTCTGAGAAGGAAAATTTGAAGAGTTGTATCGCTCAAGCACGAGAACAACTGCATATTGCGGATAATCCCACTCCAGAATCCACACAGTCTAATGCAAGTAGAGGTCTGAGAGCAATTTTTTAATCTAATTAAGGTTCTTTGTTTTCCTGTTATTGCTTTTTGGCTTAACAATCATGTCTCTTTTTTTCCCGCATGAATATGTCGATGCAGGTTATTTGTTTGAAGGGCATCTTACTGTGGATCCAGAGCCTCCTCGGCCCCATTGGCTCGTGCAGTCTGAACTCATGAACACTGTTTCTATGCTTGCTGCGGCTGAATCATCTCATCAAATGGAGGATACCCATATGTCCGAAACAGCTGCAAATTTGATTCAGGAATTGATGGAGAACCTTGATACGACATTACCCGAGGTATCTCTTAGCTCCATTCACTTGGTGTTTGCTCATTAGCTGCTTCATGTATATTGCTTTGTGGTTGGTGCTTTGTAGTGTTTAATCGGTTCAGTTTGGACAGCGAGGTGTCTTTGCTGCTCCTATGAAGGATCTTTGACATAAATTTGTGTCTGTAGATCTTGGATAACATTCCCGTAGCTCCAAGAGCCCCACCTGCCAGTAAAGAAGTTGTTGCAAAGCTTCCAGTCATTACTCTGTCAGAAGAAATTCTAGCCAAAATGGGACATGATGCAGAATGTGCAATTTGTAGAGAGAACTTGGTCGTGAATGATGAGATGCAAGAGCTGCCATGCAAGCACACGTTTCACCCTCCTTGTGTAAAGCCTTGGCTGGTAATGAAACTCTACCTTGTTATTATATTAGGCAGAAATTTTGTAAATGCATTATTCTCAGTCACACTCGTGGCATATTAAGCAAGTGTACTTCAAGTTCTGATTCCGTGTGATTTCCTTGAGCTGTGAAATAACTGGTTGCCGCACTTGTGCTTTACTTTGTGGCAGGATGAACACAATTCTTGTCCGATCTGTCGGCACGAGCTGCAAACTGATGATAATGCCTACGAGAGCTGGAAGGAGCGTGAAAAGGAGGCTGAAGAAGAGAGAAAAGGCGCTGCAAATGCTGTTCGAGGGGGTGAATACATGTATGTTTAGTAATCACTCGCTTATCGCACCATGTAGCTTAATGTTGTGCCGGGCTTTGGATACCACTGCTGTCGGCACTTCCTTGTTTAGTCTTCTTTTGAGGAGATGTCATTGACTAAAATTGACTTATTTGTAGTAGAACGCGTAAGCAGTCTTGAGTGGAAAGCGTTTCTTCCTATAGTTTTTTCTGTTCTCGTTCTGGCGAGGCCAATTTTTCAAGGAAGGTCCTGGGAAACCCATTCACTGACAGATATATCAGCCATCGTTGCCATTTTGTGCCATTGGTTCTCTCTTTGCAAAGGATCTAATGTGAAGGGAGATGGAAGAACAATCCCCCTCAGGGATGCATAATATTCTAGCCAAACCGACGCTTGGTCGCGTCGGCCGGGAATGGGGTTCGGAGCAAGCTCTTGAATTGATCCCTGAGAAAAGAAGAAGAGAGAAAAGAAATGCATAAATTTGCAGAAGTTTCCAAATCAGTGCCACGTTTCTGACATGTTTAAGTTTTCAAACCCCATATCCCTGGAATGACAGGAGATGTTGATTTTAAGGTGCTGTGTTTATTGGAGGAAAATAAATGATTTGAAAAGTATTTTTTTTAAAATAATTTTTTATTTATGAAAATATTTAGATATCAATTATTATCGATATTTTTTTCATTAACTAGTAATTTTAGAAGATACAATTGATTATTATCGAAAAAAATATTTTTTCAAATTATTTATTTTTCGCGAAATAATCGGAGTGTAAGAGGGTTCTTTATTCTCGATGTATTGAATTCATCTATTTTCCCCACTTGCTACCTATATATCACCATTTTGGTTGAGTCAATTCGCACGAGCATTAAGCACCAAAATTTGTAGAGTCCTAATTGCTGCACTCTCGTGGGAAAAGGAAGTAATATCTGATTGGTTGATCGAGCGTTATGAACTTGGTTTGCAAGTCAAAAGTGACATCTCAGAAAACCTTAATTAGTCTACGAAGGATGGACTTGGGTTTAAGCGTATTGCCGATCTCAAGCTTCCTCACTCAGATCTAATAAGGCAGTGGCGACAGACTCATCCGGAAGATAGTTAGTGCTCCGTTGGTGTCATAAATTGAACACTCTAATGCCGAGTGAGGTTGATCTCAACCCCGTCCAAACCCTTTTGTTACGCAAAAACGGGAGTAATTTTGCCAAGAATCTTCGAGGACAAATACTAATGGCTTGATTTGACTATGAAGATGGATCTTATCAACCACACCGTTATATTTCTCTTTTACATATGAAAATATAATTGAAGACCATATAACAAGGAGTCATATTTTGGTACATTGGATGCACACGAGCTCCGTATATCTCAACTCTTAGATCATATCGGTGCCACGTGGGATGATTTACCAATATTACGGGCTCGGATGCATTGGACTCTCACTTGGTCCCTCGTAACTCTCTACATTATAAATTAATTTTTTTTTCATTTGGCCAAAAAGTAAAATAAAATAAACGATCATTTTTTATTGTCATAATCAGTTTTTTTTTTCCACTGTCATAATTATCTTCGTACTACTGAAAGGCCCAGAACCAGAAGGAGAGCAAGCTTCTCAAGCCCAAAGAAAGAACAAATACACAGGTATCTCCCAACAACCAAATCTTAATCAAACAAACAGACGGCGGAATCTGAGGATGCGTGGCGGAAGCACCAACATTAAAATTTCTCCCACCACCGTGTCTTGTCTTTTTCTTCTTCCTCCTCCAAGATTTCTACAGTCCCCACACCGTACTTGCTTCCCCATTCGAGCTCCAATTCTCAGGTAAGGCTCGGTGGCTGAATCACAGCATCGGTTATGGAACTGGGCACATCAATTCTCGGCTCTACGGTCGGATGCATCTCTCCAAAAGCCCGCACTTGTTATGGACCCGGTTGCTCTCGGACCCGCAACTTGTTACGGTCCAAGATTCAATCTTGCGGTCTCAATTTGGACAGCAACCTTCCTCTTCGACGCATGGTCTCTGATGGGTACGTGGGAAGTGGCAGCTTTGGCGTCAACACGAACGCTAATAGTGCTCTTGGTAACAGCAGGAGCAAGATATACAAGAGGTTAGATTCTTGCTTGGTGGTGCCTCCAACAAGTGGTGGGAAGCCACGTGCCATCATCAAGTTCTTGGGTGGTGCCTTCATTGGAGCCGTTCCTGAAGTCACCTACGGGTAGTCTGTTCCGATTCTTTTATTTGCTTATGTTAAGGGTACTGTTTTTTTATTTCTTTTGACTGATTGTTTTTGGTGGTGCTGCAGCTATTTGATTGAGCTTTTGGCAAAGGAGGGGTTTCTGATCATCGCAGTGCCTTACAATGTGACCTTTGACCATGCCCGAGCTGCTAGTGAAATATATGAGAAGTTCCATTCTTGCCTAGATAATGTCTTGACATCTGGATTACCTGATGACGACTTATCTGCTGCTGATCTTGTTGATCTACCTCTCTTTTCTGTTGGTCACAGGTGAGGAATTCATCATGGCATTTCTGGTGATTAACAGTTTATATGCTCTCGTGCGTCCTTGGGTCCAACGTTATGTACCTGTGTAGCTATGTATACAGTCATGTCTACATATGAGTATGGGGACACTTTTATACGAAGGAATTGTAGCGACCAGCATGAATGAAAGCATAGCACACTAACTTTAATATATAAGTTCATTTTAAGGATGGAATATATAACTTGGTGTTCTGTGATTGAAAGTTGATCACTTTGTTGGAGTTGGTGTGCAGCAGGTGTTGGTACCACTGATAATTCCTTTTATTGAAGGTGTGAGAAATGCTGTAATGGGCATTTCTCCTCCTTTTGGGAATGCTTGAAGAATCTTACCTGTTCGAAAGGATTAAGACGATTATCGAGTTCGTCATGTTGTTGTTGGGAAGTCACAGAGTCCCACCTTTTGAGATACATAGTTCTGCTGCAGCAAAGTAGCAATTCTTTTACTGGTGCATCATTTCACTTACAGTTCCATTGTTATTCCAAGCTGGAGAAGCGACTCTGCTAGATTGCTTACTTAATGCATACTTCTCAGATTAAGAATCCCTAAATTGCACTATGAAAATCACACCCTAGGATGTAGATGACTTTATTTACATTGGTTGCATGAGCACGTGATTGTGGTCTGCGGTCCTTTTAGTAATCAATTGCGCTGCTGCGTTTTACCATTTTAGAACTCCCTTGGGAGATTCTTGAATCTTAATAAAAATTTTGGGTCTTTGATCCCTAAAACTAGGGCAATGAACATAATATATCTTTTTGCCTTCGTTGCTGTTAACCCATTTAATTCTCAAACCATTCTTGCAGCAATGGTGCACTTCTCCAAGTACTAGCTGGAAGTTACTTCTCTGAGAAGATACCAAAGGTCTGCTTATCCTTGCTTTTGCCCCTCTCCGAAATTATTGATTGAAATTGTCCTAGGCTCTTTGAGAAGCAAATCATATACATCAGCCTCTATTGATGTAAACTGCTGATTATGAAATTTTGTATGGTTTAAAGTAAATCAAGCGATTATGGAGTGTGACAGAGCATGTTGTCTCTTGTGGAAGGCCAATGCCATAATATCGTACAACAACCGACCAGCATCAGAGGCAGTTCCTTACTTTGAGCAGGTAATGTTTTTTTCTTTTAATTTCTTGGGTTTGAAGGTCATCTTCCCTTTTTCATCTCAAAGTATGCTTGTTTTATGTAGGGTCATGCATGTTTGAACATGGTTATTTCTTACATGTGATTGAACTCTCTAAGTTTGTATTGCTTGTGGCACTTGCATCTTTCTACATAAGCCGAAGAGAGCATCACAAAACATTTTCCCAAACATGCAAGATTGTTGTGCATGCAGCATTATTCTATGCTTCGTCGGTGGTGCTGTGAGTGCTCCACATTGTTTCGTGAATGTAAAAAAGCTTTTTGCATCTCAATAAAATAGCTTTTAACACGAAAGTGCTTCCGTTTTTTTACATTAAATGTTTTTAAACAATGTTGGCTTTAGTAGCTGGAGCGGGAGCTTTACTCACCTTCGTTGATTGAATAGCTGAATCCTTGTTAGAATGTTGTGTAACAGGACTTCATCATCACTGCCTTATTTAATAGCTGATAAGGAAAATACGTTCCCACAATCTTTATATGGACACCGTGATAAATAGATGCAATAAAGTAGTCGCTTTAGTTCAGCTATCTAACAGATCATTCTTCAGTTTACCAGTATTCTCAATTAGAACTAAAGTTTTCTGGATTTCTTGCAGCTGGGTCCTCTTGTTAGTCAAGTGATGCCACTTATGGAGGTTTCCCCTGTTTACAACATGGCTAGAAATGCCTCAGGTATGGGGTCTTGTGATCCTCTCATCACTGCTTGCCCTTAAAGTTAACCAGTATAATTTCGCTATCTGTTCAGTTACATCTTATTATTGTTATGTTTCATGAAAAATAATAGGAAGGTAATCATATATATGTTTGGTGAAGAAAGCTACTTTTACATGATTTGCTTCAAGATATATTCACCTTGTAAAGCAATGAGTTTGAACTGCTTTCACTGTTCTTAAAATATAGGAGATGCATTCAAAATGTTATTCGACACAGCTGGTGCAGTGATAGCAGAGTATGACCAGGAAGCCCTAGTCTCTTTGAACAAGTTCATTGATCAGTTGCCTTTAGTACTAAATCAGGTAAGTTGGATATTTGCCAGAGATCATCATCAATTTGGCTTTTAGATCCATTTCATTATTATATGAGATAAAATATAGATAAGATCTGTTATCCATATTGAAAAGCTGAGGCAACTACTGACCTAACTCTTTTTATCTTTTTCGTAGATGCATGATATCATTTGTAACCTTAAGCTTATCAGGAGTTGAAGAATACATTATCTGCTGATTTTTGTGAATGTTTTTTCCAAATCGTGAGAGCAATGTAAGATTGAGAAAAGCCTATTCCCTAGAGCCCCCCAATGGCCCCATGAAGGCACTGTTTTCAATTTTAACAGTAGATAGTTGAATTGATCGACTGGCAATTCTTTAAATGTCTGTGCATCTGAAAGCTTCACATTTCTTCTTTTAGGTATCTGAGGGGATATCAGAGTTCAAACCAACACCCTCTGAAAATCGTGATTACTGCAAGAATGCATACAATGTGCCACACACTCTTTTGGTAGGTAAAGTTACTTGTGTTAGTCTGAACTCAGAGGAAAAGAGTGTTATTTCTTGCCAAAAAGTAAGATTGACAGATGAGGCGTGGTGTTTCCAGTATGTTTTATAGATCTCGTGCCATTCTGCAGTTGAAGTTCAGTGTGGATCCTATTGATGAGACGGATTTGTTGGAAGGGACACTAAAGCCTCGAGTCGAGTCCTTTGGGGGGACATTGGAAAAGGTCCAGCTAAGTGGTAACCATATCACGCCATGCGCACAGGTAATGTCTGATAATTCAAAAGCAATACCGTAAATATATTTTATCGGCACTATAATATGAACAGGCCAACACCTGATAGGCAAGCATAATCTAATTCATTGACATTTGACCAATTACCTAAAGTTTTCTTGTCACTTTTAGTGTGTCATTAGCATTTTATAATTAGTAAGTGTCATCTTGTTCTGTCACTACTTGCTAGAGAAATCATGTATGCCTTTTTCCTCTCTTCTCTCTCAATAAATATCTCTGGATTCAATCAACTTAATCTCGTTTTGATTTTGTCTTGCCAGGAACCAAAATGGCAAGCCGGTTACCTGTATACTCCAGCGGATGCTATTGCTCAGGGGCTCAAGACTCTTTCTTTGAATGAGACTAGAGTCCTCTCTAGAACTATAAGCGACTGGTTCAGACGTTTTGAAGCATGAAATGCCAAATCCTCTGTAGTCCCTCTGTTCTCGGCAAGATTTGGCATATTGATATATAGTAGATGTCAACATAGCATGATCTGGGTGCTTCCCTCACGTATATTAGAGTTCGAACTCAAGTCATGTGTATAATAATCTACCACATTGCCGTTGCTTGCCTGATGTCTGCACAATTTTGGAGTCAATTTTGAATCCTCCCCTCATCTTTCCCTATGATGAAATGATGCGTTTCTCATTTACATCTTGACTACCATCTAAATTACAAGATGATTATCCATGGCTTCTTTTGGGGGTCCTTTCTTTTAAATAATGATGATGATGATATTGGGCAGCTGGTGTCAGATTGCTCTAGGTTGCATATATAGGCCATTAATCTGATTCCCAGAGCGGCAAGCTTGTCGAAAATCTGTTATGTTACATATTGATATGGAAATTTATGGAGACACAGTTTGTTCTCTAGATCTCTTTTTCATTACCTCAGTGCGTTCTTTATCTAATAATTACAAACAATTTGGTTGTCACTATCAAAATCACTGAAAACAAGGACAAAAACACAAGAAAAATGCTTGTGCTACGTGAGATCAGTCAAAAGACCTTATTGTAATATCTGATTACCCAAGCGGCACCACAGCAATAAATCACAGACAAATACTAGACACTTAAAATTCCATATTTAGTAATTCACAACTTGCATCTAATCTCCACCACATCAGGAGTCTCTGAATTCAACTTAACGTCTACCCAAGTGATCCTCTAGTCTAAAATTCAGCTCAACTGTTGATGACGGTGGTTGTACTAGATGGTAGGTTGAAACAAAAGCTATAATAAAGCCCACGCAGCATCAAACTTGACAATTACGAACTACTGCTTTATCGTGGAGAAAGTGTTAAAGATAATATTACGAAAATATTTCAAGTCTTCACCATGATCCACCAAGAACTGCAAGCATGCTTAGAGGGCAACCGGGTATCTGTCAATGCAGTCCAACCAGGGACTCTTATTCGGCTTCCTCACACGGCGCATCGACTTCCAAACCAGGCTGTTGCACTTGAAGCCGGAGCCGAAGGCGATCTGCCACACCCGGTCTCCCCTCCTCACCCTCTCCTTGGCCTCCAGATAGGCCAGCTCGTACCAGATGCTGCTGCTCGACGTGTTCCCGAACCTGTGGAGCGTCATCCTGGAGGCCTCCATGTTCCTGTTGCTGAGCTCGAGGTTCCTCTGGAGCTCGTCCAGGACGGTCTTGCTTGCGGCATGAACACAGAAGTGCTCGAAGGCGAGCTTGTAGTCCGGGATGTAGGGCTTCTTGGGGTGCGGCTGCGACCCGTTGCCGAAGAGGTGCCGCCACACGAGGGCGGCGAAGAAGAGGAGCTGCTCGGAGAAGGGCAGGACGAGAGGGCCAAGCGTGGTGATGTTGGTCTTCAGGGCTTCGCCGCCAATCTCCATCAGGTCCTTACTCACTCTTAGCCCCTTGAACCTCTGCTCATCTTCCTCTTGGTAAATGCACCTGATAGTATGTAGAGAGACAATCAGATTTAACCAAGATCGAAAGAGATAATTCTAGTACTGTTAGATTGATGGACTTATTAATCAAGACTCAAAGTTTTCATGGTCATAGCTGATCCCGAAACCCATGTGATTATTACGTTAGAAAGATATCATGGTCATGAATCATGATCATCAGAATCCCATTTGAAATCCAGAATCCCATCAGAATTCCGTAAACCCCCCCCAACTTTAGGTTAAATCCCAAATCTGTCTCGAACTTTTTTGTTTTAGAAAAAACCTCAAACTTTAAGTCCAGTCCCAAATCTACCCCGAATTTTGTTTTGTGTAAAAAAAATCACCAAAATTCAATTTATTTTAAAAAATATACCTCCGTGATCCTGTCCCAACTTGACATGGCACTTCCATGTCGATAAAAAATCCACATCAGCAAAGTAATGGGGTAATAGGTACAGACCGACGTCGCATTTCTACTTCGATAACAAATCCAACACATTAAAATTGTTGAAATTCTCCAAAATAAAATCATTCTAGGAAATCCATCCCCCAAAAAAATTTTAATTTAAAAAAAACCTAATTTTTAGGTTTATTCTAAATTTGCTCCGAACTTTTTTTTATCTAAAAAAACCCCATTATTTTGTTGATGTGGATTTGTTATTGACGTGGAAACGTGGAAGTGTTACTTCAAGTTGGAACTGGATCACGGAATATATTTTTTGAAAATAAATTGAATTCTAGTGATTTTTTTTACACAATAAAATTCGGGACAGATTTGAGATTGAACCTAAAATTTGGAGTTTTTTATGAGATAAAAACAAGTTCGGACAGATTTGGGAGTTGACCAAAAGTGAGGACGGAATTAGGCCTCTTTTATTGGCCATTTCTTGTTCCATTTCTGGATATGCATGTGTATGATAGGGATTGGAATAGGGGTTGAAGAGGACTAGACGTGGGGTTGCAACGAATAAGGAGCCACGTGATGGATGCAGAAATTCATTTAATGGAGGGTTGGCTGACCAAACATAACTCTCAACCACTCTCGTGTGCATCGCATTTACTCCCTCTCCCTCTCTCCTCCTTTTGGCATTGAACTGGTTTCTCAAATGGTCCCTTTCCTCCGGAAGCCCCTCGTGCGTCTCTTTCAGGTCTCGTGAAGTTACCCATGTCTCTCCCAGTTCTCGTGAAGTTATGCCGCGGGACTGCGACCCGGCGACGTCGAGACCAGGGTTTCAACCGTGTAAAAATTTGAAGATAAAACTCTTAATATCCGTGCCGTCTCAACATGTTGTCGGGGCATCGAAATTAGCAGTCGCCGGTCGCTTAATTAACTGAATGATATCTTAAGAGAACTAATGGTGGCCTAGTCTTTTGAAGTAGCATCCTGGACTTTTGTATTCACTTGTTAGTGACATTTATGTCCACCGAGAGCGCTAATCTTGGTTATCTCTACGGATACCTAAAGCAAGCGGCGTTCCTGGGAAGATTATCTATTTGTCCAAAGCAATTCGACTAAGCCCAAAGTTATCATATGGTTCCTAGCAATCGACGTACCTGAAGCTGCGGTCATCGGCACCCTTGTGCGTGCGGACCACGTGCTCGAGCCGGTACTTGGCGCGGGGGAAGTCGAGGCGGCGGTTCGAGAGCAGCACGGCTGAGCAGCCCATGCGGAAGAAGCAGTTCGGGAGGATCATGGAACGCTCCTTCCCCTGGTACCAGTTGTACCCGACCATCTCGGTGCTCACGACGACCGCGTAGTTGTTCGGGTTCGCCTGGAGCATGTCGCGGGCCAGGTCGACCGCGATGATCCCCGCGCTGCACCCCATGCCGCCGAGGTTGTAGCTGAGGATGTTGCCCCTCATTTTGTAGTGGTTGATGATCATCGCGGAGAGCGACGGCGTTGGGTTGAAGATGCTGCAGTTGACGACGAGGACGCCTACGTCCTTGGGGCGGACCCGGGTCTTCTCAAAGAGCTCGTCAAGCGCGCCGAACATGACGGCGGATGCCTCGGCGCGGCCTTCCTTCATGGTGGCGCAGTTCTCACCGGCGAGGAGGGGCTTCGGGACGTAGGTGTCGTCACCAATGCCGGAGGCGTGGAGGATCCGCCGCTGGAACTCGATGGTGGACTCGTCGAACTTCTTGGATCGGATGGCGTGGTCGATCAACTGAGCTTTGGTCACCTGAAAAGAGCGAGCGAGCGAGCGATCCTTTCATTTTATTTGATTTGACTATGAAACTGGAGTCTTGTCGGATAATAGTTAGATCGAAAGTTGGACATTAGGCAGGTAAATTTGAATCGTCGGACCATAAATTGAGAGAATAATGAAAGACGTACCAGAAAACAGTACTTAGCTAGATGGTGTACCATTTAACTATAGATAAAATCAACATCAAGGAAGCACATCGTAAGTAGTTAAGTACAATTTTAGGTGTCTGTCCACCGTATCATCCATGCGATTTGACTCCCCGAGTCACTTTCCTTGCTTTGCGCCTCGTGAGGCCTCGGTAGGTCGCTAGTTGTCAAGAGCCCGATTGAGATGTACGTGATGAACAAGCTAATTCAATTCCCACTCCCAAAAATATGCACATAGAATTGACTACGTTTCGCAGAAAATATACGTGCAAGGATCAAGAAATTAGAATACCACTCTTCTCGCTAGTCTAGATCGGTGTTTATCGCATCTGTCGTATCGCGTAAGACCTACATGTGGATCGATCTCACCGATACTTCACGTTAGACCCACTTACTGATCTTACCTAGTTAAGGTACGCACGTAAAAGCCCGATCTGTTCAAACACTGCATATGAATACGGGAGAAATAGCTTGATACGTAATAAAACACGACTTTCACTACACCATATTCCTTGCCTTTTACGTTCCCCATGCATGCAAGGACGTGGGGAAAGGAGCTTATCACCTTGAGATCGTCGTGAGGCTTATAACAAGCGAAATCGACGAGGTAGATCGAGCGAGGCCTCGACATGAAGTAGACACTGAGCGTGAACACGAACACTCCGAAGAACGAGAGCACCGTGGCCAGGTCGTCCCGCGCGTCCTCCCACAGCTTCCTCCACAGCTCCTCCCGGCTCAGGCTCCCAACCTCGGCGCCGAACACGAGCACCAGGACCGGTATGGTGGCCAGGTATACGCCGTGGTTGATCAGGTAGTGGTAGCCCAGCTTGACGTACTTGAGGTTCACCGACTGGACGAAGTCCGGCAGGCGGCGGCGGACGCGGACGGAGAACGTCGGGGACCCGGCATTGGGGCCGGAGGACTCGATGCCGCGGTCGACGATCTCGGTGGCGAGGAGGTGCTGCTCGTTGCTCGGCATGGTGGGGGGGCAGCGGGAGGAAAACGGGCGAGTCGGGGATTGGATGAAGAGTTAGGGTGATTTTGAGGTTGTGGTTTTGTATATAAAGACTAGAAGAGATGGGGAGCGGTGGGTGAGGGTGTAGTTAATATAGTCACCAACTAGTGGTGGGTGTAGTTGAAGGACCTTCAACTGCCTTAAATTCTTCATTCAATGTTTGTGGGTCGAGACTTCAAAAGGTCCAAACTGGCGCCAGCGAACAGGGCATGCGGCCCTGCGAGTCAAGGGATCGGGGGCGGGAGCCAGAGAGTATCAGGTCTGGGGTTCGATCCCCGTGTACATAGAAGAGAGGAGTGAGACCAGAAAAAAAAATGGGTGCTACTTAGTTGCCCCCTCTCTCTCTCTCTCGGGTACGTATATGTGACTAAACATGCATATTACGTCCACGTTTGAAACATCCCACGTCGTTCAAAAATGGGGTTTATATGCTCTCTATGTACGTGCGGTCTTCCTTTGATACCGTGTTCAAATGTCCGACCCGAGAGCTTAATAATGTCCTTTTCGATCAAAGTAATTGTAAGATGCTAACGATAACGATCGCGTCAAGCACAATCGAGAGGCTCGATTTCATCTTCGAAGCATGGCTGCACATGCCAAGAGAAAACCCCGCGTCTTGAATAATCAAAAATCTCCATTATTGCGTTCATTATCTGGTATACTTGTTAATCAAGATAGCAGCAAGAGCAAGGAACTCCTCGCCAGCCAACTACTACTATTATGAACGGCTTCTCTATGTCTGTTAGTTTATCACGATTTGCATTTAATGAAAACCTTGGCACCATCCATATGCGATGGGCATTGTATTATTAGTTCAGCTACCACCTAATTCGACCTTCTGTCTCCCGCTCGGCATTCAATAAACCCCATGCATGCACAGTCCTTTCCCTAGCCTAGGTTTTTGTGGCGCACGCAGCTTTCTTATCAAGAGTACTGTCACGTAGGATCACCCTCGTTCCGTTGACTTGCTCCGCTGTCCATGCCCGTGTTCATCAAGTCCGCCCTCAAAGCCTTGGTGCCCGTGCCCGATGTCCCGGAACTCAAGCTCAGGTGCATAAATGCTGTGCTTGGATCCACGATGCTCGAGCTCTGATCCTCGGCACTCAGAATCGGGTTCACCAAAGCCATGCTCGGGTCCTCTGTGCTCAGGTTCGGGTCCTCAGTTAACGAAATGTTCATTCTAATAAAATATTTTTTTAAAACGATTTCGAATTTTTAATTATTTTTATTTTTTATGATCTTTTTTTTTCTTTTTGCTTCTTCCTCGGCCGGCTACTGGCCACGGGGCGAGGGATGAGCTCGCCCAAGGCCGGCGAGGCTCAACCTCGCCAGATTTTGGCAAGCTCAAGCCTCACCGGCCTTGGGCAAGGCTCCATCTCCCTAGATCCGACTAGGTCGAGCTCACCTAGCTTGCCGGATTTGGCGAGGCTCTGGTGACCTCGGGTGAGGTTCGAGCTTGCCGGCCTAGGACTAGGTCATCCCTTGGCGACCAACCGAGAAAGAAGGAAAGGAAAAAAAAAGAAAATAAAATTAAAAAAATTCCAATTTTTTGATAATTTTCCCCAGGAAAATTAAATCAAATTTTCTATACCAAACGGCGGGAAAATATTTTCTAGTCTATTTTTAGATTTCAGCCAAATACTGGAAAATATTATCATTTTCCAGAATTGTCACATTTTTCGCAAATCTCCGTTTGTTTAGCGGAAAATGAGTGATTTGAAAAACTTTATCCTAAAAATAATTACTTGTATTGCTTGGAATAATTAGCCGATGAAAAATATATTCATTATCGATTACAACTTATATCTAAATATTTATGTTGACGACTGAAATAATTTTCGTTCATTTATTTTTATAAGTGATATAAACGATCATTTTTAGGAAAATATCTTCCAAACCATTCAATTTTCACAAAGAAAACGGAGCCTATGTAAAGTATTCGCTGATGCCAACATGTAGAAGGAAAGTATTTCACACAATGAGTTCTTTGGAGACGTAAAAGGGGTGCAATCATTTTTCGATAAAGTGATCGTGTGTTGCTTGTAAATAAGAGAATCCATCTTCGGCTTTGGAATTATCAAATGTTGAGGTGTGGTTCATACTCCCTATCGACTTTTTATAGTTTGGGCTCGTATTTTATTGACAGTTTAGACTTAGACCCATGAATAGCCACTGAGTATATATAATCTCTTTCTCTATTGAAAGTTGTAACAAAGAGGTGGGAGGTGCTATAGTGGAATCTTCTATTGGATATAGCTAGGGGTGAGCATGGTCCGGATGGGCAGTTCCCACCCTAGAACCAAGAATCGCCCATTAAGGACTGGTTCCAAAAATTGGATTCGAGAACCGCTTGTTGGTTCCATGGATCCACCCGGGAATCGGACCGCCGGTCCGGTCCGGTTCTTGGGTGGATCCATGGAACCGGTCCCACCAACCAAGGACGGAGACGGAGACGGAGATGGTGAGGTGAGTATCGACCGAAAAGAGTGAGAAAGTGAGAGTAAGTGTAAGGCGAAAGCGAAAAAAAGGTATTTCTCGACTCAATGTGAGGCCGTGAGCGTCAAGCGAGTTAGGATTAATTTAGAGATTTATGATTATTTTTATAAAAAAAAATTAAAAATTAAATAAATAAATATATTATATTATATTATCATATTATCGGTCCGGTCCGGGTGAACGAGTGGGTGGTTCCACACCTGGAATCGGGAACCGGATTGGTACCCACCGGTTCCCAAAAATTAGAACCGGGAACCGGACTGGTTTGTTTAGGAACCACCGGTTCCGATCCGGTCCCGAGCGGTCTGGGCAGCTCCCGGTTCTTTTGCACACCCCTAGATATATCTCTAGTTTAAGAGTGAACCGGAATAAAATACCGTATCTCGATTTCTCTTCGTCGTTTTTACTCTCTATTTCATTGTATTTGCGCGACTAATCCTAACATCAAATTGTGGTCAATAACGTGTGATGATTAGAGACGATGATTTTACCAATAGGCGTGCACGAAAAATTGTGCATCTTCGCACGGCCGGATTTATATAAGAAAAGTGCCACGTGGCGAGCACCCTCTTAGCTCCGGCTTTTTTATTATATATAATAGATGATAGATTACCTGAAAAATAAATCGACACCTTGTTTCAAGGATAATTCTTTTGTAGGTGCTTAGATTATTTGGCATTTGTCGCACAATTTAGCTGGTCATTATTAGTAGTCGTCCTGGTTCGATCTTCCTCCCATGTTGCTCGTAAAGAGGCCAGGCCCTTCACATGCCCCACCCTCGTTCCTTTATCTTTTCACTCATTAAGACTTTATTCCACCATTTCTTTTTTTGCTCGGACACTCTCTTCCGCATTGAATTGACCGCATTATCCTCGGTGGGCCCCACGTTCGATCTAAAAGTGTCTCTTTCCTTCTTCTTTTTTGTCCGATTTTTTTCTTGATTTAGTAAAAAGAAATAAAACTACCTATGCCCCTCCCAAACAACTTCTCTTCTCAACCTACTCTCTATTTTCCACTTGCATGAGAGTTCAACCAATAGTTGTAATGTCACTAATCATACATCAGAGTAAGGAAATGTCAGTTTTATTTGCACACTGTTTACTTTATTTCCCATAGATTCTCCTCATGATCGTGAATTTTTCGACTTCGGCTTTCAATAAAACTGTACGAGAATTTACTTAAAGATTGAATATTGTATGCATACACACAATTTACTCATCTTTCATTATATTATTTTCTGCAGTGCAGTCACTATGGAAGGCAACATTCAAGAGGACCCACCAATTTGCTTATATGTATCTATTAATTATAAAAATGACGGAGAAGAGTATCAATCGTGTTAACATGTTCATTTTAAAGTTTCTCGGTAATCAATGAAAAGATAATATTCAATGTAATAATGTTTTAGGGAGCCTTTTCTTTTGTATTTGCATGATAATAGTGCAAGTTTATAATTTTTAATGTACTTAACTCCGTCATATTTTTAATTTCTTTTTATAAATTTCTTTTAAAAATCGTGCAATGATGGCATGAAAAAAGATTGGACCATCAGATTCACCGAATAAAATGAAAGTTGAGCAGTCAAATGCGCGTGCTATAATGTAATGACAATATCAAAGCTACAGTTTAACCAAAAGGTATTCATTAAAACTATGAGGTGATTCTTTTTTACTCTTTAGGTTTTTTTTTTTTAAAAACAAATGGTTTCCTAACACAGAATAAACAAAAGAAATATACAACTCATTAACTTAATAACACAATAACTAATTGGTTATCTGCCAAATCAACTATCTTTTGGAAAAGAGAGATACTGATTTCGTCCCAAATGGGAAAAAAAGAAGAAGAAGAAACCACAAAAGAAGAAAAAAGAAAAGGTAAGAAATGATTTTAAATCAAGAGTGGACCCCATATTTGACTTTAGCCGTTATTATTTGAGAGAGTCGTGGGTAGTTTTGTCTTTTAGTCAAATTTAAATGAAGAAAATAAAAGAAAAAAATAAGAAATAATTTTAAATCAAGAGCGAGACCCACAAGGGATAATGTGGTCAATTCAAGATAGTAGAGGTGTTAAAAGCCAAAAAAATGAGTGGAAAAAACGCGAGTCTTATTATATTGACCGTACATATCTTCACGTCCTCAATTTCTTTTTCAAACTATAATTATGATAAACAAATACTTTGTAATCGAGTTTTGACATTTGTGCCTATATATAGTTAGGCGAAATACAGTTGTTTAGGAAATATTCTGTTTTTGATCTTGCCTTACGTTGTTCTTTACACAGACTTCTCTTGCATTTAAGATACATATATACACACTTATCTCGTTATGAAACATGTAAATTCTCCAAACTTGGACATCTTTTACAAAAATTATTCTTGCATACTTAGCCAATCATATCTGTAATATATGGGCCCATTAAATAAACCCAAACGCAGCCCATGTCTCTCATAAAAGCCCAAGACCATGTAACCTAGTCTTCTTTCCTCCTTCAACAGCTCATGTATTTGAAGCACAAACGAAAAGAGAAGAGAGGGATTGGCGACAAGAAGAAGGGGAAAATAAAAAGAAAGAAGAGAGAAAAAATTTTTTGCACATACACAATCTAGACGTCCCAAGAAGCCGAATCAACTGCGAATTGCAATGCCTAGTAAGTATTTAGCCTATTATTCGGTTAATTGGAGTAATTTTCAAAGATAGGTCTTAAATTTGGAGTTACGTGAAAGTTGAACTGCGAGGTTCGATTGAAGAGCTATTAAGCTTTAGATCTATATGGAAATGACAGATAAGGGCGTTGTGGAGTTGTGGAGTTTCACAAAAATCGATTCCGAAGTACATTTTGATCGGAATGAATTTCCGAAGTTTTGTATGCGAGTTACGCGTAACAGATAAAGATGAACGTTCGTTATGAACGAGTTTCTTCGTTAGTGCGTAGGTGTCATTTTATCGATAGATAAACGTAGTTTAGTCGTATTGTTCGTTAGAGCAACGTATTACTAGGTTTTTAATATAGTTTTTTGAATAATTGATAAGAAAACGAGGGAGTCAGCCCGAGTAACCATAGTAGGTTGGTTTTCAGCTTTCCCAAGTGAGTGTATTATCTCTTCTTCGAATTTATAAACTCATATTTCGAAAGTAACATGGATTATATATAATATGAGTTATGAAATGACACTTTTATTTTATAAAAGTCAGGATTTGGCATTTACTACCTTTCAGTTATTTGAGAATGGTTTGAGAAACATGTTATGAAAGGTGTCATGAAAGCTTATATACATGTATTGCTTTGTGAACGGGTTTATGTAATGAATTGTGAAATGATTTGAAAGATGTTTTGTGAATGGCGTTACAAAAAGTTATAAATAGCGATGTGTGAATTGGGTAAATGAAAAATTATGAAATGGTTCGAGAAATGCCTTGTGGAATATATTCCGTTTGACGAACAAAATTGAGAAAGATTATATGATTTGGTTTACTCATTTCATTCATCTTACTTACTTTTCAAGTTCTTCAACGTACCGTAACTAGAACAGGAGCATTTACGTTATCAAGAGGACATATTGATACTGGGATCTTTTAATATGAATTGTTCATATCCATGATGAACTCTCGAGTTAGTTATTTGTTCGAAATGTATATATATATATATCTTTTTGATGAATTATAAAAAAATCATGATATCGTAATCAAATGACTTTCTATCAATTATATATTCATTTGTGCTATGGGTACGTTGGAGGCTGCATTGAAAAAGGACCGCCGTGTCATTGTTCTATATATTGTCGATGAGCTGAGGGTGCGGCAATATCTCAAACGTCACGTGCGCTACATACCCGCACGGGGAGGTCCGTACTTTAACTATGACGTCACACTGTCGTGGGCTGAATCCATCGTGCCTGGTCCCAGGTCAACTTGAACATGCCCAAAGAATAGAACTCCACGAACATCTCGACATCTCCCACAGGACGAGCAGCAGTCGAACGTCCGTGTCTGCGGTGCAGTCCAGTACATCCCATCATTTCTACAAAGCCAGCCCGTACGTAGCCATGAAATCGTCACTCCTTGAACGTGGAGTTACGAGTCCAAGTTGAGTAGCGCGTCAGATCCACCCACGAACGACGAAGCGAGTTCGTCGTGCAGTTCGTGCGCATGCATGGTCGCAACGCAATGATGCCTGAAGTCACGTTAGGTCTTTTACTCTTTAGGGTTTCCTGTTCTTCTTCTCTGAGCAAAACGCAGATCGAGAGTCAATTCAGTCCCACTATTACTATTTTATTAACCGTGTGTGAATGACGTGAGGATCGAGATCAGAAGACACCGAGGTCAACGGGTTCGACCCTAAATCGATGTGCTAAAAGTAAACTGCAATTTTTTTAAACGATTCAAAGACAGGTCAAGCTATTTGAATATGACGAACTGCCTGCCGATTAGGTCAAAAACAAGTTCTTGGGAATAATTAAACCTTTGCCCTGGATACCCTTTTGAACGTTGGGCAGGTTCGGCACCACGTAAAAAGTGCTTGCGACATGCGCGCGTTAGCCATCGATCGCGAACTCGAGCATTGACCGATTGGTATGAAGATGTCGAATCGCGTATGACTTTACGTAGAAAAGCCAGCTCGGAATTTCCATCGCCAGAGCGAACGTGGAGAAGAGCACAGTGTGTGCGCTCAAGCATTGACCGATTGGTATGAAGATCTCGAATCGCGTATGACCTTACGTAGAAAAGCCAGCTCGGAATTTCCATCTCCTGAGCGAAAGTGGAAAAGAGCACGGCCCGTGCGCTCACGCCGCGTCGCAGTAGGTCCGGCATACATTAGTTGAGAGCTCGAGAAGTCGCGAATATCCCATGCTTTCGCTAGAAAAAGAGAGACAAGAAACAAAAACGTCGCGGTCAAACCTACGGCACAACCATCAGCGGTATCGATCCTAACGCGTTGCTCTTGTTTAGGTTGCTTTTCTTATTCCATGTTGGATTCATCGTCGTCATCATGATGTTTCTTGGACCCTCTGCAGACAGGGATTGCCGGACCCCATCTGGATCCCTTTATTTATAGAGAGATCTGCGTCACGTATGACGCAGAGAAAACGTTGCGTGGTCTGCATTTGGCATTCTATCGAGCAGAAAGAGAGAGTCATTGGGTAGTTGGAGGAAAAAGGGACGAGGCGAGTTTTTTTTTAATCACTTCGAACAGTCACGGAAAGCAATTGCGTGCAATATCATATGATCATATTTCCTAAAGCTGGTCGTATTTGACAATCATTAGTTTATCCCTGCAAAGGTTTGACTCGTGTGTTTTAATTTATTTATATGGGTTCGTCAACAATGTCCATGCTTGTGCTAATTAGACGCGCAAGTTGATCTATATCGGGCAAGTTTTTTGAGTGGTATTTCGAGTTCTTGTGCTTGTGCTAGAGGCACTTTGACCCAGTGATTTCGAGTTCATCTCGATTGATCCTTACGGACGATGCGCGCATGCAACCTCTGTCCACGGGCATTGGATATGGGCTCCATCCCGAAGCGGAAGCGATTGAATGCGGTCGTTATCAATAAAATAATTTCGTCATTCGGTCGAACCTTGTGCAAAATGCCTTCCCCTTTTTCTCCGGATAACAATTCCGGCCGTCTGATCCAATAGCCTCCCCCGTCAGATAGAAAGCGCAATTTTCGCGCCCGCAAATCGACTCCCGACGCGACACGAGCGCGAGAGAAAAAGGGGCAGCAATGAATCGACCCGACACAAAAGGCGGGACCACGCCCCATCGATCGGGATCGAGGGGTCGTTTTAAATTTTCCAAAACCGTGATACGAATTCGATTACAATTTTCTCTCTCTCTCTCTCTCTCTCTTTTTCTCCTCCTCCTCCTCCTTCTTCTTCTTCTTCTTCGTCACGTCGTATTTTCTTGGGGCAACATTGTGGACTGTGTGGGAAAATAACGAAATTTTCGGGACTGTGCCCGGGGCAAAAGGTCAAAGCGATGTATGATGCACGTGGGGGTGGATCCAAATTAAAAGTTTGGACAAGACGTTGGATACTGCCGTGTCGTTTCCTGTCCGGTCTATCCTGCTGCTCCCACGCGCCTTCATAGTTATCAGGGCATTACATTCTTCATACCCACTATCGAATTGACGATCGGTTTTTGTTTTTTTCAATTAAAGTGGCCGTGTTTTTTATATCAAATTTTAACGAAAATTTTACTGTTTTTAGTATATTTTCTTTTACTCAAAGGATACGTGCACCAGAGTACGTTCTCACAGCTTATTGCGGAAGCGCAATTAAGCCCTGAGATTTTCCAAAAGCCACAATCAAGTTACAAAGCTTATCAAGCTGGTGTAGTCAGGTGCAGTTTCTGTTTGTCAAGTTGGATGGAGTAAATGAAAGGACTCGGTTGCATAAATTTGACAAGTTTCGGGACTTGGTTGCACTTTTTGAAAGTTGTAGGACTTAATAGCACTTTCGTAACAAGTTTTAAAATTTGATTGCACTTTTTAAAAGTTATAGAGCTCAATTACACTTTCGTGATAAATTTTTCATTTCATTTATTTTTACATCGTATATTTTTTTTCTCATTTTCTATATTTTTCTAATTTCTACAAGGATCAAGGATAAAATAGAGATTTCTTTTTATATCGTTCACGAGGGGTTTTGTGCGATATCATAGGGATAATAACACAAACAGTCCTTGAAATTTGATCTAATGCGCAATGTGGTCCTTGAACTTTTAATCTGTTCAATGTAGTCCTTGAACTTTATCCTAATGTTCAATGTGGTCCATAAACTTTTAATTTTGTTCAATATAATCCCTAAAATTTTGGTACATATTCGATGTAGTCCCTGAAATATACGAAAATGTTCAATGCACTCCCTAAACTTGCTAAACTTGAATTAATAGAATGACTACACTGAACATTTTCATATAGTTTAGGAACTGAGTTGAACATATACTAAAAGTTCAGGGATCACATTACACATTCGGTTAAAGTTCAAAAACTGTCCGTGTCATTTTCCCGTATAAATGAACGGCACGTGGCCAAGTTGCCATCGTGAAAACAGCGAATGCACTCCACGCGCCGAGAGAGAGGCAGCTCCGGGCATGTGGTCCGCCAACGCCGGGCACGAGGGAACAATACAATGAAGAACTCAACTCAGCTGCCCCACCTCCCCCAGAAATTTCCAACATGCTCTTTACCGGCCCTACCGCGTCTCGCCATGTCAGCACGCCCCCGACAGGTCCACGTGTCACCCTCGCCGAGCCAAGCGACCGATCAACACGCTTTTGGCGACGGCGAAGCACCCGAGCTCGGACCGAGGGTCAACTATATATGCCCCTCCCTCGCAGCCGCCAAATCCTCACAATTCTGCGCATTGTCCATTTTGATGAGTGTAACCTCACACCCGATAGAAATCGAGGGGATCCCCTCGATCAAGATCGTCAAGAATCTCTCGTCTCCAGTGTATTTGCGTCGGTTTCCGTGATGGACGGGGCGACTGGAGCCTCGGAGCGCCAGGGGGATGCCGGCGGCTCCCGGTACAAGGGGGTGAGGCTGCGGAAGTGGGGGAAGTGGGTGTCGGAGATCCGGCTCCCGAACAGCCGGGAGCGGATATGGCTCGGGTCCTATGACTCCCCCGAGAAGGCCGCGAGGGCCTTCGACGCGGCACTCTACTGCCTGCGGGGCCGGAACGCGCAGTTCAACTTCCCCGACAGCCCGCCCGACTTCCCGGGGGCCCAGGGCCTCACCCCTCCGGAGATCCGGGCCGTCGCCGCCCGGTTCGCCAATGAGAGCTCGGGGCGGGGCGGAAGGAACGACGACGGGCGGGGGCACCGCGCGTCGCCGTCGGCAGCTCGAGGAGGAGACAACGATGGGAATGGTAATGACGGCGGGAGCAACGTCATGGACTGGTCGTTCTTGAATGCGTTGGACGACAACGACTGTGCTGGCTCTGGATTCGGGCTTTACGGTGGACTGGACTATGCGTGTGGTCACGAGTTGGCGCCTCCGCCAGAAGCATCGGCAACGACGAATAACGCAGACGACGAACAAGGGGGTGGTGGCGGCGAGGGTTTTTATTGTCACGAACCATCATTTCTCTGGAACTTCTGAAAAGCTTTTCAGATGCAAAACTACTTCGGCGATATTTTATCAGTAGCCGGAGGAAACTCATCTTGTGCTGTCTCTTTTTTTTTCAAATCTTTTTGCCTTGCGTTGATTTTTACACGATGACAATAAAGAAGTGGATCAACATAACAGGTTGCTTTAGGGTTTTTATCGTTAATGTTGCAGAACAAGTCCGTCTGTAAGTGCATACCATCATCGTGTATCATCGTGTACGTAAAGGTTTCAGACACAAATAATGCAGATACGTTTGCTTGCCTCCTTCCTTGTTCTTAAGATTCAAGAAGCAGATGGAACTAAGCGCATGCAGGAGAAAGCTGCCATCATGACCACATGCACGTCGTTATCAGAAGGACCACATTGAACACATGCACTCTGAACTATCATTGTCAAAGTGTCCAATATGCCGAGTAAAGAGCAAACCTCTCTATAACCAAACAGACGGCCGTCGTTTTCCTTTTCCTCATACGAGGGGCTTATCCATTAGGTCAAAGGACGCGATTGGTCGTTTAGTCACGGGCCTCGCCGCGATCTTTGGCCTGGCAACAAACACGTTAGGGTTCGTGCCAAGGAAGAAACGTTCATTGTTTCGATGGAGACACGTTCGATCTCCAAAGCATTGATAGCGAGCCGCGGAAAGAGTTCCAGGGATGGTTCTCACGTCGGTTTCGATTCACAGTGGAATAACGTTCCATCGAAACTGGTTGCTGCGATCCAAAATAAGTTGTCGACCCCGGCTCAAATCGAATCCATCGGAGCAATGCTAGGGCTATTAATTGGTGAAGACCGATATGCCATTAGTTTGTAGAATGATATATCGAATCGAGTGGAAATTAAAGTGTATGAGATTCAAACGCCTGAATTAAAAATAGACCAATCACTTTGTGAAATAATTATAATTTTTATATATCTAAAGTATTATTTATCAATCCATAAAAGTATAATTACAACCAAACCATTGATTTCAACATGTTATCAGTCCAGTTGGATTAACTGCTAAAACCAAAGCCACATTGACGTAATAGCATGGGGATAATTACCCAATCGGTGATAAACATATTGTGCATGTGTTACTTTAATCATAAACTGTTCGATTTTATCAATTTAGTTCTAAACCTTTGCATGATATTTCTATCTAGTCCTTCGGGTCAATTTTCGCCAAAAATCGCTAACGTGATGTTCCAGTCATCGCCGGCCATTCTACATGGACACGGCCATGTCAACGATTTCCGGCGAAAATGAATAAGGACTATATTGGAACTTCGCGCAGAAATTTATGACTTAATTGACAAAATAAAAAGTTTAAAACTGAATTGGCATCCGTACAATAAGTTTAGGACCGATTGTACAATTTCGCCCGTCGTTTGATCGAAGAAATAATGATTCGTGGATTAAGAGAAGAAAGACACAACTCGTACATGAGTAGAGACATGACTCTACCAAAAGAAGCAACTCTATTATCAATAATACTTGATCACATTAATGATAAGAAACACACCACTTCATGTCTCTCTAAGGAAGAAAGAGAACATAAAACCATCGCCAATTTTCTCAAAACTTAGGAATGTCGGATCCTTTGCCTTCATTAAGGCATACACTTTGCACTGTAGGAGATCAAAAGACTAACGCTTGACATTTGGAACACAAATAACTTTTAAAGAATAGGGAAAAAGGGTCTACTTGTTGTCCTTGTAGTTTCGCGCTTTTCTTAATCAAATTGCTGTACTTTTGATTTGTCTAATTAAGTCTTTATACTTTCACAAATTTTCTAATCAAGTTCCTCATACACCAATTCTAACCAAATCTAGCCGGTGTGGTTTCGGACAATATCGTTGTGTGACGTGGACAAAAAAAAATTTCAATGCGGACGTCCACGTGGGTATCCACATTGGTTAAATTTTATCCATTTCACACTCCGACACTATCTACATTGGCTAAATTTTTCCATACACATTCACATGGGTATCCGCATTATATTTTGGCATCGCTCAACAATCACGTCAGCTAGACTGATAGGATTTTGTGTCGGAGGGACTTGATTAGAAAATTTGTGAAAGTAAATTGACTAGATTAGACAAATAAAAAATATAGCGACTTGATAAAAAAAAAGCGTGAAAGTACCAGGAAGAAAAAGTATTATTTGTCTAAAACTAGGCAAGGCAAAATATAGGTTTTTGCTCTTTTACCTCAAGGTGCACGCAAATACACGATTATGACATCAGTGACAGGTTTCGAAATTGAATAATGTGAGATATAACCAATCAAAATATAGGAAAGGCAAAATTATATGTGGGAAAGTTGATGAAGGTTTTTTGTAATTTTCCTAAAAATCACAATAATTTTATGTCTGTAAGCTACGAAGGTGGAAAAAATGGAGTGTATCCAAATAAAAAGGGTGGTTGTTATGGCATATGCAAACACGTATTTACGGAAAACTGTCCAATTAATATTAAACATATTATACAGATGTCAATACAGTCCTAAACTTTTCAAATTCGCCAATCTAATCCTAAGCCTTTGCGCGATATTCCAATGTAGCCATTCCGATCAGTTTTCCCTGAAAATCACTTATGTGGTGACGTGCCGCGTAGGACAACCAGCGATAGCCGGACCGCCGCATCAACGGTCCCCGGCGAAAATCGATCGGAAGGACCACATCGGAATTCCGAGCAAAGATTCAAGACTACATGGGCAAAACCGAAAGACTTTGGATTGAATTCACATCCGCGCGATACGTTTAGGATCGATCGAACAATTCCGCCCCTGCGTAATCTACATCCAACGAGAAAACCCTTTTCACAATCCACAAGTGGACATCAAACGAACACGTGTGTCTCCCTCTAAGCACCATGTGGAGACCCAGATGCATCAATTTGGGAACGAAACGCTCCCCCAACATTGGCAAAATGTACTTACCGCAACCCATTGCACACCCCGAAAGTCTTTCGATCACAACGCACTGAACAACAGGAACGTTTGAATCCGGCCAGCAAAGAGAAGAAGCTCGTGCATGTGAAAAGAGCTGCAAGGAACACCGCGTTCACTTTCCCGCCGCCCCAACTCCCCTGTCTTTCTCTTGTGTCGTCGAGTCCACCCGCGACAAGGGCCAAGAAAGCCGTCGAACGAGAAGAGAAGGAGAACTTGAAGAGCGTCGGACTGCACGAACGAATACGGTCTATGATCAAGATTGGAAATGACAGTGCGTGTGAAACCGAGAACCAGTGAGGAAAATTTGTCTCGAACGCGTCACCTGAGATTTGAGGATTGGAGGGGTAACCGTCCAATCCCTTTTTCTTCTCGCTTTTTCCCATGTTAAGAGGAGCGGTCAAACATGCGAAAGTTCGTCAAACTATACTAGAGAAGTACTGCAGTATCTAACAACGGAGGGGAGCATGGACAGTGATGCTTCTCAAGAAGGAACACGAGGAAGAGTTCGAGTCAAACAATCATATGTCTTTGCTCGACCATTTCGGTCAACGCTTTCCTTTGCCTTTCTTAGACGTCATGCATGAGCTTATCAGATTGATGGAAAGGACCCGGTTTGGAAATGTTATGAAAGACTTGAAACTGTTTAAATCAAGTGTGTGATCAATCATGGGGTCACTCAAGGGTTTAATCGAGACTTATAAAGCAGATTGTGTTTTATTAAGAGATGGGATCATATGGGTTTAAGTCCTAATGAAGGTTATGACTTTTAAGTTGTGATAATAGTCGGATTATTTGAACGAATAACAATTATTTCAACTACAAATGCTTTAGGCGATGCTAATACCGCGCCCATTTTGGCTCCACATGCTCCCTAAACGATTGAACGGCAAAAGTACTCTTCGTGGGTGCCACATCTTATGGCTTTTTTGTGCAAGAATTCACTAGAGATCGAAACATTGAAATTTTTTTTGGATAAAGTTACTAAACAGCCCTTTATTATCTTGTGAAATTTCCTCAAAAATTACACCAAATCCAAACCCAACTTAAAATCCCCTTCTCTATCCCCACCACCCCTTCTATCTACATTCTATATTTATTATTGAAATGTTGAACCGGATTAAATAATAATCATCTTAAAGGCGTTGTTGGAATAATATAAAATTGATTATCGGTGAGATAGAGCACGTCAGTTGCTGGATGAGAAGGTTGCAAGCATTAAAGAAGAGCCATAAAGACTTCAAGATGGCTTCCATTTTTCTTTGTCAGATTAAGCTAATTTGTTTTCTTTTAAAATGATGTGTGAGCTGTTATGTCTTTTTTATTAAAGGTTATCATTGGAGTTCGTAAGATTCAATTCCTATATACATAAATGAAATCATGAGTTGTAAATCAAGCCATAAGCCCAAAACCATAAAAAGAAAGCATTCTCAATAAGTTCTCCCTCCAATTTCTATTTGTGCTCTTATTCCAAGTTTCTAAAGTTTATATTAGTCTTTTGGTTCCAACATTTGGTATCAGAGCTAGAACTTGCATCCACCAATTCGGTTCAATTGTAACTTCCAAAGTTGAACGAGAGGAATTTCAATAACTAATCCATCCAGATAAATGTTCTTTTCAAATCGCAAGATTTGTGGAATTTAATGGAGAGCGGCTACACCGAAGTGGCTAATGTTGAAGCATTCAATGCTTTAAGAAAGGAGGAGAAAGATTCATTGGTGGAGTTCTGGAAGAAATATCATAAAGCATTGTTTGCAATCTTTTAAGCCGTAGAAGAAACGATATTTGAAAAAATATTGAGCGCAAAGACCGCAAAAGCAGCATGGGATATTTTGCAACAATCCTACAAAGGCGATGATCATGTCAAACGAGTGCAGCTTCAAACACTTCGAGGAGATCTTGAGTTTTTACACATGAATGACTCTAAATCAATCTTGGCTTATTTTGATCGTGTGCAAACCACTGTTAACCAATTAAGAGTTAATGGTGAAGAACTCCAAAATATGCGAGTCGTAGAAAGAATCTTGAGGCCTTTGACCAAAAGATTTGACTACATTGTTGTGGTGATCGAAGAAGGGCAAGATGTGTTAACTATAACATTGGAGCGGTTGATGTCAAAAGTCCGTCAGTTTAAATCCAGAGCAAGCATTGTAGAGTCGGGTTGCTCAATCAAACCAAGGAGGCTGTCAAGGTGGTAAAATCGAAAAGTCTAGGACCAATTTCAAATCCGCACGTAGCCTTTGGGACCGATCGAACAATTTCCCCCATCGCATATCTATATCTAACAAGAAAATCCTCTTCACATTCCACAAGTGGACATCAAATTAACGCACGCC